TTCATGATCAATCATTATAAAACATATCATATATATTATTCTGAAATGGACCAATCTGCACAATGACTACTTTTACTGTCTTTCACTATATTTTGATGAGAATACTTTTCTACTTTTACTTGAGGAACATTTTGAAAGCAGGACTTTTACTGTAACAGAGTATTCCTACACTCTGGTACTTCTACTTTTACTCAAGAACAAGATCTGAGTACTTCTACTTTTACTCAAGTACAAGATCTGAGTACTTCTACTTTTACTCAAGAACAAGATCTGAGTACTTCTACTTTTACTCAAGTACAAGATCTGAGTACTTCTACTTTTACTCAAGTACAAGATCTGAGTACTTCTACTTTTACTCAAGAACAAGATCTGAGTACTTCTACTTTTACTCAAGATCTGAATACTTCTACTTTTACTCAAGATCTGAGTACTTCTTCGAGTATTCTACTTTTACTCAAGAACAAGATCTGAGTACTTCTACTTTTACTCAAGTACAAGATCTGAGTACTTCTACTTTTACTCAAGTACAAGATCTGAGTACTTCTACTTTTACTCAAGAACAAGATCTGAGTACTTCTACTTTTACTCAAGTACAAGATCTGAGTACTTCTACTTTTACTCAAGTACAAGATCTGAGTACTTCTACTTTTATTCAAATACAAGATCTGAGTACTTCTACTTTTACTCAAGTACAAGATCTGAGTACTTCTACTTTTACTCAAGTACAAGATCTGAGTACTTCTACTTTTACTCAAGAACACAATCCGAGTACTTCTACTTTTACTCAAGAACAAGATCCGAGTCCTTTTTCCCTATTCTCTTATTGTCTGTTGTGAATCTCTTCGTATTGCCTTGTTGTTGATATATGTTTCATCACTAAACTCACCTTGTCTCTAAAACGGTCTCCTCCCTCCTCTCCAGCTTCACCTGGCTCTCGGCTCAGGTGCACAGCAACATGATGATGCATTTCTCCGGCCGGATCACGGACAGCTTCGACCGGGAGTTTCGCTGCCTGTACGCCGACTCGCAGATCGTCGACTGCTTCTTCAACGCGGAGGAGGAAGGTGGGGGGCTGCCTTACTACCCCTCCTACCAGGCCATGATGACCCCCGGTGGCCTGGTCCCGGGGCTGGACCTCCTCTCAGACAGGTAATAATAATAATAATAATACAAGTTATTTAAGGCATCTTACATGACACCCAAGGACACCGTGCAATTTGTTAAATATTCTGTTAGGAACAATCTCCCTGGTCTCCGGCTTGAGTTTGAATCTCAGGATCCAAAATTGTGTATTTTTCAAAAAAAATCTCCAAATTTTGTATTTTTCTAAAAAATCTCCAAATTGTGTATTTTTCTAAAAAATCTAAAAAATCTGACTTTTTCCTCAAAATGTTGACTTTTTTTAATCAAAATCTCAAAAATTCGAACAAGTTGATGCTCTGTATGTGATGACTACTTCCATTCTGGAGAGGATCACAGATACATGGATCCTGAGATTCAAGCTCAAGCTGGGGACCAGGGAGAGTTCTCTAACACTAACCCTCCCTTCCCTCTCGTCCTGCAGCAGACAGCGGGACAGGGTTTGCTCTGAGAACTCCAGCAGCCAATCCAGTAACAGCGTGTCGAGTGTGAAGGCTGCGCCCGGCATGACCTCCAACACAGTCTACAAGGTCACCCAGAACCACGACAAGAAGGAGTCCAACAGCAACCCCCTCCTGAGCCCAGAGCGGAGAGGCCAGACCCCGACACCCCCGGGAACACGAGGCTTATCCAACGGGGGAATCCATCAAGATCGACCCCCGCCGGCGTACGGTCAGCAGATGGGCATCGAGTGGAACAAACCCAACGCGGCGGACGTCATGCGGTCCAACATCGGCGGGGCTTCGTCCAAATTCCAGGCGATGGGGTTGTACGATCAGAAACCGAATATGTTCCACAGTCCAACCACAAACCTTCGGACGCATACGCCCTCCCCCATCACTGACATTAAACTCGCCCCCAAGCAAAGGACTCCCCCAAACCAGTTCTTCAACAAGCTATCGGACATGTTCCTGCCCAACTCCAAGGAGACCTACAACACTCGGGGGTCTACGTCGCCTCTGGAGATTCCTCCCTGGGGGGGGCCGGACCTCACGATGAACGAGCCGGAGAGCGAGCAGAGCCTACCCCCCCCGCCCTCCCCCACCGTGCTGATGAACCGGCATGAACAGAAGCGATTGACGCTGGGACACAGCAAGCTGGACCTGGTGAACCAGTACAACAAGATGAAATCCAGACAGGTGTACAGTCGCTTTGAGCTCAAGACAACCGATTTAAACCGGGAACAAATTTAGTTTCAAACCCTTTCCATTCCTCCGGCGTCTCTTCGTCTACCAATCAGAAGGTCGGTGCTTCGCCCGTTGTTGTGTTTTAGGGCAAGATATTGACATCCCCAAATGCTCCTGACTGTGAGCAGTGTGTTTGAATCTTCCTGATCTCCTTGCAATGAATGAATGAATGTGTGTCAATGGGTGATTGAGGACTTAAGAGCGCTTCGAGGTGCCTTTCTCTCGAACACACTCCAGGGATTAAAGGAGGGTTTTCCACACGACACGTATAAACAATCCAGGTGATGCAATAAGAGTCCATTTTCACCGTTTGTATTATGAAGTCTTTTAGGTAAACTTTTCTACAGCTGTGAAGATGAGTTTTTATGTGTGTAGCATCACTAAGTGCACATTAACAGAAAACTAGAATTCACTAGGACACTCTCTCATCAGAAAATAATATAACTATTAACGATTTTGACCTCAAACGTTCGAAGTCTAGGAGTTTAACGACCAACTCATTTCTACTTTCAGTAAGACTTTAAATTCCATTTCAGCTTTCATTGTCAGTTACTTTGGTTTGATATTTAACCTTAAACAACTAAGAAGTCAAAGGTCACCTATTCTGCAACATCCACTTCCTCATGTCTCTTCTACATCAACATGTGTCCCCTCTTCTTCATGTCTCTTCTACATCAACATGTGTCCCCTCTTCTACATCAACATGTGTCCCCTCTTTTTCATGTCTCTTCTCAACATGTGTCCCCTCTTCTTCATGTCTCTTCTACATCAACATGTGTCCCCTCTTCTTCATGTCTCTTCTACATCAACATGTGTCCCCTCTTCTTCATGTCTCTTCTTCATCAACATGTGTCCCCTCTTCTACATCAACATGTGTCCCCTCTTCTTCATGTCTCTTCTACATCAACATGTGTCCCCTCTTCTCCATGTCTCTTCTACATCAACATGTGTCCCCTCTTCTCCATGTCTCTTCTACATCAACATGTGTCCCCTCTTCTTCATGTCTCTTCTACATCAACATGTGTCCCCTCTTCTTCATGTCTCTTCTACATCAACATGTGTCCCCTCTTCTTCATGTCTCTTCTACATCAACATGTGTCCCCTCTTCTTCATGTCTCTTCTACATCAACATGTGTCCCCTCTTCTTCATGTCTCTTCTACATCAACATGTGTCCCCTCTTCTTCATGTCTCTTCTACATCAACATGTGTCCCCTCTTCTTCATGTCTCTTCTTCATCAACAAGTGTCCCCTCTTCTACATCAACATGTGTCCCCTCTTCTTCATGTCTCTTCTACATCAACATGTGTCCCCTCTTCTCCATGTCTCTTCTACATCAACATGTGTCCCCTCTTCTTCATGTCTCTTCTACATCAACATGTGTCCCCTCTGTGGAAAGAGACTCTCAAAGTTTCAGGAACAAAGATTCTCTCTCTTTTTGATCCATTTCTATAAAAACCTGTCTGAAAATGAGCTGATCAGATTTTGGCCACTTTATGATGTCATAACGATTTTTTGGCTTGTGTATCCATTAGCCAATCAGCAACCAGGCCCTCGGATCATTCTAAAGTATAATGGAATATGGACCACGCAGGAAGCTGTGTATCAAATATCAAGCGTCATTTACCTACATTTGATTGATTTTTCTAACTTAACTGATGAGGCAATATACCTCATGTGCGGTGAGCGGCCCTTCCTTTATTTTCCTGTATGTTTAGACACCGCTGGTTTAGATCATTCCTACAACACTCCGGTTTTAAAGTGTATTACTTGTGCCTTAATCATCATGCCTTAAGGTTTACAATCACATGACATAATAGTCATAATAATAATAATATGTCCAAATGTTACTAAAGGAACACACAAGCCTATTTGAGACAATAGGAAATAAAACAATATTATTTGTAATTTCTCTGAATTCTGGGACGTTAGTTTGGTCATATCTTGATGAAATGTATTGCATTTAAATGTCTGTTATGTTCTTTACATGTGTTTCCCCATGTGTGCATTTTTAGTTTACAACACACAGCAGAGGTAGATTTGTAAATACTTAGATACGGTTTAAACTAATGGTATTATTTACGTTCTCTTCTAGTGTTTTTGTGATTAATTGTGCTGGTGCGGTAGTTTTTTTATCACAACACAACAGGGCTACATATTCCTCCTCAGCGTGGAGCAGCAGCCTTTGAGAACTGATTTTTACTGGTGTCTCCTGAGCAATAACGATTGATAGCGATCTATAATTGTAATATATGTGTTTACATTGTCTTTACTCCAATCAGCCGTCAATCTGCAGCCATCTTTGTCTTTTTTTTTTTACGGCTAATGTATATAACGTTGTATATAATACACTTACAGACTATCAGGAATTTGGGTTACTGTTATAGAAACACTTCTTAATAAACTCCTTGTTTACGGTATTTTATTTTTCACTGTGTCATGTACTTGAGAATGTGAACTTTTTGTGTTTAAAAGTTGTTCTTAATTTGTAAGATGAACAATTGTGGATTTAATAATAAAAAATAAGAGCTGTTTTGGGTCGATGTTTTTTTATCTGGAAACAAAAGTAGCAGGGTTACGAAAGGTGGAAAATGTTTGTCTATTGACCTTGTGTAGCCCCGCCCCTTTTCTCACTTCTGGTTAGTCTGATATGTCAGTTAGTCTGTCTCATAACTGTTAGTGTTTGTCAGTATATCTGAAATGACTAGGTTAGCTACGTTAGCTAGCTAGCTTACAGCAGATCTGCAGTGACATCAGAAGTCATGTGACCACATTGTTCAAATAAGTA